TTACGATTACACATCAGACTACTACCAACGCCGCAACCCCTTCCAGAAAGTGCCGAGCAACAACTGTAGGCAGAACACGATATATGGACAGTGTAACCGCAAAAACCAGTGCCCAGGAACCTCTTCTTGCACTCCGGTACAAACGCACTATCCTGGAAGGCCATATCAGCGAAACGCCGGTTTCCCCGGAGCGAATCAAGTAAGTTTGAGCTCAGGCGTTCTGTTTCCATCCAGCGGTAAGCCTAAACATATTTGTGATTTAAGGCACCGAACCGTCGACCTCAGCAACAGCCACACGGTGGTGGCCGCATGATCACGCGATATGTGTGCTGTTATCCGTTGGAACGTGTACCGAAAAGAGGGTTCACTCTGCTTATGTGATATAGTTGTCTGGCGAGAATGAATTCTATTCGCGCGGACATTATTATAATGAACTCTAGGTATCGTTTATTACCTGAACGCTGTTACAGGTTTGTAGCTGTCTCTTACGAGGATATTAAACGATTTTGTTATTCACTATTTCTCGTTTCGATTATCCCATTTGATCAACTGCTGAAACAAAGCGGCCATTCTGATGACTGAACGGCAAATCTGAGTTCCTGTCGAGCAGAAATGCTGGTTCACAACAAAGCACACCATTAAACCAATTGACAGTCAATATCAGGTTTCTCCATCAAAAGAGACGAGGTCAGGATGCAGCGCTACACTTCGCTTTTTATTGTCTTCTGCTTTCGTCATTCGTTGATTATTGCTGGCTTACCATATCAACACTGACCAAGGAGACACGCGATTTAGCACTTCTTCTCTAGAAACTAAAGCAATCCAGATACAGCAGGTGAAACACGTAACAGTGTAACGAAATGATCATTTCCTGGACCTGCTAAGTGTATAGCGTTTAATGTGAGAAACTGTCAGGTGCAGTCTTTAAGAGCGGTAAAATCTGCCAGTCCGTCAAGAACTGAGACATCCTCCCTCAATCAGGTTCAAATGGGGGAAACCATTCTGGCGAGCTGCCCTCGATCAAACGGCCTCATCTTCTTGCGTCTACGACGAGTGGAAAAACACCTTGCAGAATTCTATCGTGCTAAGCAGTTACTTAACTAGCAATCTTACTCAAAGTGGCTGGGCTTCAGCTTAACCCGGAAACACTGTGTCAGTGTGAACAGATTCTGCATGATTCGTGTAAGGACCGGTCACCACATTCGCAAGTGGCGGTAAATTGAGAATCTTGCGCACGACTGCCACTACTCGATCAAAGAATCGAGTCGAGCACAGAGTGCGGTGAGAGGAAGCTCGAAAGACGAATCGTGGCATTGCATGCGTTGGAGACTGCTCCGCACCCCAAGACCGTCGAAATAAAAACTAGACCTCTATGTGGCTGCTGACATCGTACGCATGAAGACACTCTTCTCTGTCTTGCTTACAAACTGAATGATATAGCAAGCGAGACAACGCAATCAAATTTTGTTCGTTCTGGCACGTCGAAGTGTGAAGAAGCTGAGTTACAATCCGGGATTTAAAATTTGTATCTTACTGAAGGGTAGCATCAATAAGATAAAGCGTTCTACACAAAATACAAACTGTATCACCTGAACTGCAATTAACTCATCGGTTACTGTTGCAACGACTTAATAGACTGTGAGATTTTGGCTTGCAGATGGGCAACAGACTCACGCATGGGTGTTGCGAATGACTGTTTGTTCGACGTCCACGGATAGCTTCCATACATAC